CCGGGCCCCGTGAGGGGAGGCCCGGCCACCAGGCGCTCGCATTTGAGCCCCAACCCCGGGCCTGGCTCCAGGGTGGGGCCCCGGCTGTGCCATGCCGGGCGACGTCACGGTCCTTGATTTTAATCTATTCATAAAGGGCTTTTGAACTGCTCTTAGTCTGACCCGTCACCCAGGACCTGCTTGCCTTGGGAGACCCTACCAGGGACATATAGCCCCTGACAACATAGCTCCTAGGATCACTCAGGTACTCAAACCCCCTCCACCACAATAAGGTGGCGGTTCAAGGAGGTGGGTGATTATCCTGATTATCCTTATCCTTATTTATTATTTGGTCAGTTTGGGGCAGCATAGGCTGTAAATACAATAGGCTGAATATTCACCCCACCCACCCCAATAAGGGCAATAAGAGGAGTACCGGCACTTTTTTGACCCCCACTTCAAGCACTGTGCAGGAGGGTACCAAGGAGCATTAACACTGCTAATATTCCAATCAAACCCCTCAGCCCAAAAAAAAATTTTTGTTTATTTTAGCTAGACCATCCTTGCTATATAACCTTTCAAAAATTTCCAGTCTGTGTATATTCTGCATTTGTGCCATGGGAGCAGGGGACAGTGACAAAAAGCTGCAGTCAGGATGGACACTTTAGGAACTTTCTGCCAGCTACAGTGTGGGAGTCACATGTCATAAAATGTACACATCAAAAAATATAACTGAACAAAATCAGATATTGCATATTTGGATTATAGCCTGTAGATGCTTCCACTTTATTATGCTTCACAGCCATGAATTAGTAGTCTGCACCCAAGAAGACTATCTAGAAGTCCAGTGAGTCCACACCTTTGACACTCTATATTCGAGTTACTCACCAAAAGCACAGAACTTACATGATGTGCTGTCCATGACAGCTGAAGTGGACCTGGACATAGCAGGCTCCACCTCCCTCCTCTCCACCTCTACTTGTTTGTCCTTCTCTTCACTCTCTGCCACAGCTGCACTTTCCTCTCCTTCTGGCATGTTTTCCACTTCAGATGTTCCACTCTCACAATCTGATGGCTCCTCCTCCACTCCACCCACCTGGCCACTGGAACGGGAAAAACGGGAAAACAGGATTCCTCCGATTCCCTTTCCAAGATTTGCGGCACCTGAAGGACAGTAGGATTCATCATAAAATGTATTCATCTGAAATATGTACATCATCCTTAACAAGCTGAGTTCATTTATCAACAGAATGAATCTAAACTGCATCATTGTGCATCATGCAGTTCTACTGAGCTTGATGAAAATGCCAGCTATTGGTTAAGGAGTAACAGCAAGCTGAACAGCAGTGTTTCACTGACCTCTGCTGGTTTAAACTCTCATGTCTGTTGGACCACACTAAGCATCACTGATAGATATGAAGAAGTGTGTTATTAGACTGTGCTGCAAGAGCAGGAAGTCACACATAACCTGAGGCAGGTGGCATATTGGGAGGGAGGTATGAGGTTAAAGCTCAGCTAGTTACTGATTAGCAACTGTTGGTGGAGATGCTGTGCTAACCTTTTAATTTATTTTCAGTTTATCCAGAGTAATGGGTAATAGGTTCACATCCTAAAAGGTTTATCTAGAGATAATAGTTGGGGCGGCAGTGCTGCCCCGTGGATGGTGCTGTCACCTCATAGTCAGATGGCTGTGGGTGGTTTGCATGTTCTCCCTGTGTCTGTATTGGATTGCTGTAAGTTAGGTGAACTGTAAAGTCTAAATGACCCATAGCTATGAATGCTAGTTTATGTATGTAAATCTTGTAATACACAGTCCAGAGGATACACTGCTTCTCAGACGATGCATGCTGAAATGGAATCCAGCCCATGAGTCTCAACAGGATAAGTGGTACTAAAATGAATGACGCTGAATAGCCTTTATAAAATATATATCAAGAAAGTACCGTTTTTACTTTCTTCATCTGTGTCTGATGTGTAGAGTAGGAGCCTATAATGTGCTTTTAGTTTCCACTCAACATCTGACACAGGAAGGAAAAGGAATGTCATGCTGTCAGTCCAGGGGATAGAAGCTAATTGTTTCTATTGATTTGTTTAGATCACTGTCCACTGTTTCCTTTGCTACTGTATCAGCAGTACAAGCAGCTCCTGTTTCTCTCAGCCCAGATCAGGTACACTATTTTGGCTGATTTTCAGTTGGCTTTCATATCCATCACAGGTCTTTTCACGTTTGTTTGTATTTTTGAAACTTTTAAAGTGTTCATGCCATCCACACCAGCGGAACCCTCCCCATGTGCTCACCCATGATGCTGGCCTTGCCCAGGCTGGTAATGGACTCTCCGTAGTGCCGGCGGGCCTGAGGCGGGGAGGTACAGGGGCTGGTGATGCTCTCTGAGTCTGAAACAAAAGCGGCCTCCTTTGGGAGATTGAGCAGTGTAGGCCGGATCTGATCATACGGTGTTGGGCTGGTGGTGTTGTACCTGCACGTCATATCCACACAACGTCAGTTTGCTCAAATGTAGTCATCATTCTGTCTTAACACTCTAACTTCACTAGGCATACTGTAGTTTCCATCATTGCTGGGTTATATAATAACAAAAAACAATGTAACATATTAATTGATTCAATTTTAAGCTTATTATACCACTTTTAAAATGTTTACAGCAACAAAATAATTTCACTAATAACAGATTAACAAGAAAACAGACAGAAACTGTGGATATGAAATAATTCATGCCATCACAGGATCTACTGGTTTGATAAATTCACAAAATAATTCATGAATAAAAATATTAGCTCTCATGCAACCACATGCCTTACCAGTGGATTTGAACAGGTGCAATGTTACTGTAGTGCTTTAAGATAAGCGGTTCCAATCTGTATGCCTGAAAGAAACAATCAAATGCTTGAGAAGATTACTTTCTCACAACATTACTTAAATGTTCTTTTTGCAGTTAAATTATATGTAATTGCCAGCTTTTCATTTAGTTTTCTTTATTTTTTGTGTTAACAACATCAAGTACAGATGCTATCTGTTGAAAGGTTTTGTTTCAGTTTTTTCTTTCTTTTCACAAAAATACATTCCTCTAGCTCATAAAAATCACCAAAGTGGGCAACAGTGATATGACACATGCAGTTGTGGGTACTGTAGCTCACCACAGGGTCTGTGGGGTGGAATATGTTGAAGAGGCGTTTGCAGATAGAAGTGGGGAGAATGTGATCCTGCACACCATTGTTTCCAGGTCGGATCCCTCGCAATGCCAAGAAAACAGCCAGAGGAGAGCCCATGCAGAAGAAATTTTCTACCTGCAACACAGGGGACATTCAACATGAGAAAACAAGAGCCACTACTCCTCTACAACAGATAGTTATAGATCATAACTGCTGCCACAGAGCTGCTCAGTGGCCATGTATAGAGGACTGTGACTGTACTGGGCCATTTCAAGGTGTCATTGTGTAAAACTGTATGAGTGTTCAACATGCAGGATTGTTAAAAAGAACACTAACCAAATATTCTTTATTTAAATCTGTGACCAGGGGCCTTCCTGTGTGGAGTTTGTATGTTCTCACTGTGCCTGCACGGGTTCTCTCCAGGTACTCCAGCTTCCTCCCACAGTCCAAAGACATGCAGGTTAGTTAAATGGTGCCACTAAACTGTCAATGGGTGTGAATGTGAATCGTAGTCTGTCTCTACAGGATATCGTCAGCCCTGTGATAGACTGCTGACCTGTGTAGTGCGTACCATGCCTCTTGCCAAACATCAGCTGGGATTGGCGCCTCCATCCTCTACAGCAGGGGTGTCAAACTCAATCGCACAGGGGGCCAAAACTCAAAGCACACTTTAGGTCGCGAGCCGAACAGGATAAAAATTTATTGAACAGACTAAAATGAAATGTTTTTTGAACATAAATATAAATCGAAACAGACAGAATACAATATTAGATAGATAGATAGAAATTTTATTGCAGTCTCAAGGTCCAGACTCCAAACAACAAAAAACAACAAACAATAAAAAACAACAATAAATAAAACGATGAAAAATAAAAACCACCACAAAACAACAACCAGTCCACTACTATCTCTTTATGATCCTTAACAGAACACAAGGGTTAAGAGGCAAATATACCAGCACAACAAACAATAAAAAACAACAATAAATAAAACGATGAAAAATAAAAACCACCACAAAACAACAACCAGTCCACTACTATCTCTTTATGATCCTTAACAGAACACAAGGGTTAAGAGGCAAATATACCAGCGTCTCCAGAGTACTGATGTATATCGCATGTCACTATATGCAGCGTTAGTCAACAACAAAACAATATGGTTTTCAGAGCTATTCAAGGGACAGATAAATTTATACATCAGGTTTCTTAAAACAGCTGATAAAGTACTAACTCGTAGTGACACAAACAATTCACTGGCACTCACCCATCTAGGCCTTTTCAGTAATAGTCTCAAGGCGCAGTCAATTTCCAAAGACTGTCTTTTTTGTAATTAAACCATAGGTGGGCAGTGTACAAAGAGGAACAATATGCTCTAAATAGAGTCAATTTTACCCCATCCGAGCATGAACCAAATTTCCGCGCCAATACATTTGCTTGCACATACAACATACGGCACTGCCGATACATATCCCCATCATCGGTCAAACAATCATTTATAATATGACCCAGATACTTAACTTCATTGCATATGGTTAAAATATTACCAGATAGCTTAAAAAAAGGAAATACAAGGGACTTGTCCTCTTTTGAGTGGCATATCATAATAACACTTTTAACAGCATTATACTTAACATCATAAAGATCTCCAAATACAGAACACACATTCAAGAGCTGCTGAAGACCTGCGGAACTAGGACTAAATACCACAAGGTCATCTGCATACATTAAATGATTCACTACAACACCTCCAACCATGCAACCCGTTCTACACATACTTAACTTTTTTGAGAGATCATTCATATAAAAGTTAAATAAAATTGGGGACAGCAAACTACCTTGCCTTACCCTGTTACTGGTCTGAAAAGGATCAGATATACAATTATCCCATTTTATGCTGAAGTAGAATTTTCCCATTCATTTGAATGGGGCAAAACTTTCAAAATAAAGCTATATATTTCAAAAGCATAAGGTTTTCAAAAACCCGTAAGACAAGCATGAATGTCCTTGAAGAGCTGAACATTTTGATACCTGAAATAGCCAAAAGTATGCTGAAGTAGAATTTCCCCATTCATTTGAATGGGGCAAGATTTTCAAAATTAAGCTAAATATTTGAAAAGTATGAAGTTTAGAAAAATCCTGAAGAGAAGCATGAATGTCCTTGAAGAGCTTAATATTTTGCTATCTGAAATAGCTGAAAGTATGCTGAAGTAGAATTTTCCCATTCAAATGAATGGGGCAAAATCTTTAAAATAACCTAAATATTTCAAAGGTATAAAGTTTGGAAAAATCCTGAAGAGAAGCATGAATGTCCTTGAAGAGGTGAACATTTTGATAGCTGAAAGTATGCTGAAGTAGAATTTTCCCATTCATTTGAATGGGGCAAAACTTTCAAAATAAAGCTATATATTTCAAAAGCATAAGGTTTTCAAAAACCCGTAAGACAAGCATGAATGTCCTTGAAGAGCTGAACATTTTGATACCTGAAATAGCCAAAAGTATGCTGAAGTAGAATTTCCCCATTCATTTGAATGGGGCAAGATTTTCAAAATTAAGCTAAATATTTGAAAAGTATGAAGTTTAGAAAAATCCTGAAGAGAAGCATGAATGTCCTTGAAGAGGTGAACATTTTGATAGCTGAAAGTATGCTGAAGTAGAATTTTCCCATTCATTTGAATGGGGCAAAACTTTCAAAATAAAGCTATATATTTCAAAAGCATAAGGTTTTCAAAAACCCGTAAGACAAGCATGAATGTCCTTGAAGAGCTGAACATTTTGATACCTGAAATAGCCAAAAGTATGCTGAAGTAGAATTTCCCCATTCATTTGAATGGGGCAAGATTTTCAAAATTAAGCTAAATATTTGAAAAGTATGAAGTTTAGAAAAATCCTGAAGAGAAGCATGAATGTCCTTGAAGAGCTTAATATTTTGCTATCTGAAATAGCTGAAAGTATGCTGAAGTAGAATTTTCCCATTCAAATGAATGGGGCAAAATCTTTAAAATAACCTAAATATTTCAAAGGTATAAAGTTTGGAAAAATCCTGAAGAGAAGCATGAATGTCCTTGAAGAGGTGAACATTTTGATAGCTGAAAGTATGCTGAAGTAGAATTTTCCCATTCATTTGAATGGGGCAAAACTTTCAAAATAAAGCTATATATTTCAAAAGCATAAGGTTTTCAAAAACCCGTAAGACAAGCATGAATGTCCTTGAAGAGCTGAACATTTTGATACCTGAAATAGCCAAAAGTATGCTGAAGTAGAATTTCCCCATTCATTTGAATGGGGCAAGATTTTCAAAATTAAGCTAAATATTTGAAAAGTATGAAGTTTAGAAAAATCCTGAAGAGAAGCATGAATGTCCTTGAAGAGGTGAACATTTTGATAGCTGAAAGTATGCTGAAGTAGAATTTTCCCATTCATTTGAATGGGGCAAAACTTTCAAAATAAAGCTATATATTTCAAAAGCATAAGGTTTTCAAAAACCCGTAAGACAAGCATGAATGTCCTTGAAGAGCTGAACATTTTGATACCTGAAATAGCCAAAAGTATGCTGAAGTAGAATTTCCCCATTCATTTGAATGGGGCAAGATTTTCAAAATTAAGCTAAATATTTGAAAAGTATGAAGTTTAGAAAAATCCTGAAGAGAAGCATGAATGTCCTTGAAGAGCTTAATATTTTGCTATCTGAAATAGCTGAAAGTATGCTGAAGTAGAATTTTCCCATTCAAATGAATGGGGCAAAATCTTTAAAATAACCTAAATATTTCAAAGGTATAAAGTTTGGAAAAATCCTGAAGAGAAGCATGAATGTCCTTGAAGAGGTGAACATTTTGATAGCTGAAAGTATGCTGAAGTAGAATTTTCCCATTCATTTGAATGGGGCAAAACTTTCAAAATAAAGCTATATATTTCAAAAGCATAAGGTTTTCAAAAACCCGTAAGACAAGCATGAATGTCCTTGAAGAGCTGAACATTTTGATACCTGAAATAGCCAAAAGTATGCTGAAGTAGAATTTCCCCATTCATTTGAATGGGGCAAGATTTTCAAAATTAAGCTAAATATTTGAAAAGTATGAAGTTTAGAAAAATCCTGAAGAGAAGCATGAATGTCCTTGAAGAGGTGAACATTTTGATAGCTGAAAGTATGCTGAAGTAGAATTTTCCCATTCATTTGAATGGGGCAAAACTTTCAAAATAAAGCTATATATTTCAAAAGCATAAGGTTTTCAAAAACCCGTAAGACAAGCATGAATGTCCTTGAAGAGCTGAACATTTTGATACCTGAAATAGCCAAAAGTATGCTGAAGTAGAATTTCCCCATTCATTTGAATGGGGCAAGATTTTCAAAATTAAGCTAAATATTTGAAAAGTATGAAGTTTAGAAAAATCCTGAAGAGAAGCATGAATGTCCTTGAAGAGCTTAATATTTTGCTATCTGAAATAGCTGAAAGTATGCTGAAGTAGAATTTTCCCATTCAAATGAATGGGGCAAAATCTTTAAAATAACCTAAATATTTCAAAGGTATAAAGTTTGGAAAAATCCTGAAGAGAAGCATGAATGTCCTTGAAGAGGTGAACATTTTGATAGCTGAAAGTATGCTGAAGTAGAATTTTCCCATTCATTTGAATGGGGCAAAACTTTCAAAATAAAGCTATATATTTCAAAAGCATAAGGTTTTCAAAAACCCGTAAGACAAGCATGAATGTCCTTGAAGAGCTGAACATTTTGATACCTGAAATAGCCAAAAGTATGCTGAAGTAGAATTTCCCCATTCATTTGAATGGGGCAAGATTTTCAAAATTAAGCTAAATATTTGAAAAGTATGAAGTTTAGAAAAATCCTGAAGAGAAGCATGAATGTCCTTGAAGAGGTGAACATTTTGATAGCTGAAAGTATGCTGAAGTAGAATTTTCCCATTCATTTGAATGGGGCAAAACTTTCAAAATAAAGCTATATATTTCAAAAGCATAAGGTTTTCAAAAACCCGTAAGACAAGCATGAATGTCCTTGAAGAGCTGAACATTTTGATACCTGAAATAGCCAAAAGTATGCTGAAGTAGAATTTCCCCATTCATTTGAATGGGGCAAGATTTTCAAAATTAAGCTAAATATTTGAAAAGTATGAAGTTTAGAAAAATCCTGAAGAGAAGCATGAATGTCCTTGAAGAGCTTAATATTTTGCTATCTGAAATAGCTGAAAGTATGCTGAAGTAGAATTTTCCCATTCAAATGAATGGGGCAAAATCTTTAAAATAACCTAAATATTTCAAAGGTATAAAGTTTGGAAAAATCCTGAAGAGAAGCATGAATGTCCTTGAAGAGGTGAACATTTTGATAGCTGAAAGTATGCTGAAGTAGAATTTTCCCATTCATTTGAATGGGGCAAAACTTTCAAAATAAAGCTATATATTTCAAAAGCATAAGGTTTTCAAAAACCCGTAAGACAAGCATGAATGTCCTTGAAGAGCTGAACATTTTGATACCTGAAATAGCCAAAAGTATGCTGAAGTAGAATTTCCCCATTCATTTGAATGGGGCAAGATTTTCAAAATTAAGCTAAATATTTGAAAAGTATGAAGTTTAGAAAAATCCTGAAGAGAAGCATGAATGTCCTTGAAGAGGTGAACATTTTGATAGCTGAAAGTATGCTGAAGTAGAATTTTCCCATTCATTTGAATGGGGCAAAACTTTCAAAATAAAGCTATATATTTCAAAAGCATAAGGTTTTCAAAAACCCGTAAGACAAGCATGAATGTCCTTGAAGAGCTGAACATTTTGATACCTGAAATAGCCAAAAGTATGCTGAAGTAGAATTTCCCCATTCATTTGAATGGGGCAAGATTTTCAAAATTAAGCTAAATATTTGAAAAGTATGAAGTTTAGAAAAATCCTGAAGAGAAGCATGAATGTCCTTGAAGAGCTTAATATTTTGCTATCTGAAATAGCTGAAAGTATGCTGAAGTAGAATTTTCCCATTCAAATGAATGGGGCAAAATCTTTAAAATAACCTAAATATTTCAAAGGTATAAAGTTTGGAAAAATCCTGAAGAGAAGCATGAATGTCCTTGAAGAGGTGAACATTTTGATAGCTGAAAGTATGCTGAAGTAGAATTTTCCCATTCATTTGAATGGGGCAAAACTTTCAAAATAAAGCTATATATTTCAAAAGCATAAGGTTTTCAAAAACCCGTAAGACAAGCATGAATGTCCTTGAAGAGCTGAACATTTTGATACCTGAAATAGCCAAAAGTATGCTGAAGTAGAATTTCCCCATTCATTTGAATGGGGCAAGATTTTCAAAATTAAGCTAAATATTTGAAAAGTATGAAGTTTAGAAAAATCCTGAAGAGAAGCATGAATGTCCTTGAAGAGGTGAACATTTTGATAGCTGAAAGTATGCTGAAGTAGAATTTTCCCATTCATTTGAATGGGGCAAAACTTTCAAAATAAAGCTATATATTTCAAAAGCATAAGGTTTTCAAAAACCCGTAAGACAAGCATGAATGTCCTTGAAGAGCTGAACATTTTGATACCTGAAATAGCCAAAAGTATGCTGAAGTAGAATTTCCCCATTCATTTGAATGGGGCAAGATTTTCAAAATTAAGCTAAATATTTGAAAAGTATGAAGTTTAGAAAAATCCTGAAGAGAAGCATGAATGTCCTTGAAGAGCTTAATATTTTGCTATCTGAAATAGCTGAAAGTATGCTGAAGTAGAATTTTCCCATTCAAATGAATGGGGCAAAATCTTTAAAATAACCTAAATATTTCAAAGGTATAAAGTTTGGAAAAATCCTGAAGAGAAGCATGAATGTCCTTGAAGAGGTGAACATTTTGATAGCTGAAAGTATGCTGAAGTAGAATTTTCCCA